TCAGTCTTAAAACAACGTGGCTTATAATGCCTTATTTTTTTATTTTTACAGTTTTATTGTTCTTCATTATTTGCTTTGCTATCAACTTCTGTGGTGCTTTCTGGTCCATTTGCAGTCCTTGGACACACACACACACACATATGTGTATGCACACACACAATTATTTTTTCACACTTAGCACTGAGTTAAAATTCCTCCATATTAATTTAGCTCCTACGGACAGCTCTGGTAGTTCTAACGTATCACTTCACAGAGCCTAAGGTTGCCGAGGTGTCATCCTAATCCGTCCACCTCACGCACACCTGGATTTATGACATGATTTTCTCTACGCATGTTGAAGGGAAAAAAGTTGAGAGCTCTTACCGGGCTGCGCCTCTGTGAACAGCAGAAAGGAAAAGAGAACAGACACCGGGTCAGAGAACGAACCGCGCGTCAGTCCGCAGGCGCAGGGGCGGATTTGAGAAAGCGATCGAACGCACCGCAGGGGAGCAGGCCGGGGTGCAGGCCCGGGTGCAGGCCCGGGTGCAGGCTGGGGTGCAGGGCGGGTGGGCCCGGGCTTAGCGAAAGCAGAGTGGGCTTTCAGGACCGGCCACTCCAGCTTTGCCCACATGGATGCCCACGGGTTAGCGTATGCACGCACAAGAAAGGCAGCAACACACAGCATCGACAATGGTGTTTTCAATGTCTTGCCGACAGTTTTTCTCCAAGTTATTTGGGGTGCGGGACTTTGGGGACCAGAGGTTCAGGGAAAGCCTTGGCCGGTGAAGCAGAGGTAAGGGGCTCAGTCCGCACCTCCCAGAGCCTGAGGGAAGCTTGGAGACACCAGCAGGCTGCAGTCGGCCTCTCTCTGGCTTTTCTCCCGAGTGTTCTTAGAGTGTGTGCTCCTCTGTGTGCGTTCCTGACCTGGTGATTGGGGTGGCCTCTCCCCATGGGTGGGTAAGGTGACGGGGAAGAGGGGAGCCCCGGACAAGCCCAGGTGGAAATGACAAGAATGCCCGGCCTGGAAGGGACACTGATGAGCTACACAGGGTCTGCAGGTGGCAGGCAGGCACAGGCCTGCCCCGTTGGACCTCCTTGGGGCTGCTGTGCATGGGCCCCAGCAAGCTCCAATCGCCCCAGCAAGAGCAGGCTGTGTGGGGGAGAGAGGCTGGTGGAGTCTCACTTTGGGGATGTGGGTGAATCTGGAATCCCCCATGGTTCCCTCCCACCGATGAGGCCACTCACAAGTGGGGAGCTGCCCAGATGACGAGGGGACCCTGCTGCAGGACATAGCAAGCAGAAGCGGTGCCTGGAGCACCCGGGCCTCCGCAGACACCCAGGCCCTTGAGGTGGAGAGGGAAGTGAGGTTCTGAGATGGAGCTAGTCCATCACTAAGACAGAGGTTAGAGTGGTGATCTTGCATCCTCCCGCGCTGGGGACGCTGCCCTTCAGGAATGGCTTTGGAAGACTCAGGAGGAGGCAGAGACCACTGGGGCTAACACCCAGCGGTGATTTCTCAGACCAAATCTGTAACCAGGACTTTAGACTTATTTATCTTAGTCGGTTTTACTTGTGAGAGTTTGTCTTCTTTTTCAGGTGCTGGTCTGTATTGATCCCACTTTTCTTATGTTTGTTGCTTGGTTGCAATCGACAGAAAAAAAATGTGACACAGAAACAATATTTGTTGGCTTAACCCATACTTTAAAAAAAAATTGTAACATGTTCTTGCCATATAGTTTAGGCTGGCCTAGAACTGGCAGCAATATTCCTGCCTCAGCCTCCTGAGCACTGGGAGTACAGACCCAGTCACACTGGGTCTTGAGGAAATCTGAAGCCATTTTATGTATAATGATTTAGATTTTATTATTCTTTAGCAACCACACTAAAGCAAATATGAGGATTTTATGACAAAGTTTCAAAATACAGCAAACAGGAGGCTAAAATAATAAGTTCCCCAATATAAAATTATGAAAAATAATACAAAATAAACTGATGGTTGTGACCATACAGAATGGACTCTTAAGTCCAAGAAAATTCATCAATTTAGGATTATATAAAATGCACTTCAAAATAGTTTCAAAAATATAATCCATTTGAATCAAGTTATATCTTAATTTCCAATAAGCTAAAAACATATGCTTTTAATCAGCAGTTCACGCTGTTTTTCCTCTATAGGAAGAGACAACATTCTGAGACAGCACTGTGGAAATTCCCTTCGTAGAACTCTTTCATCAAGCACCGGCTGCCCCCATCCTTGTGGCCACAGGCTGATTAATGAGATGGCAAAAGCCCAGCTAGAAGTGGTGCGGAGTCTCAGGCAGAAGGCCTCAAGGGTAAAATGAAGAGCTGTCTGAAATACTCAGAAATACCCTTCTAGCAGGAAGGGCTGGACACTCACTATCACCACAGACGAGCCCGCTGGACAGAAGGGCGGCGAAGCCCCCCTTAGTTGGGAAGAGGCCTCTGCACCTTCCCAAATTGCTTTGTCCTTTCTCCTGTCATTTCCTAAAAAATTGAGGTACCTAACAAGCGTCATGTTTGGGTCCATCAATGTATAGATTTCGCCTCAAAAGGTAGGAGAAAACAAATTCAATATTGGGTCTTGATTAAAAAACTAAAAGTTTGGTGAAAATTTTAAGCAATGAATTAAAACTAACAAGCAACCAAAAACTAAATGTTCAAAAGATTAAAGTTCAGATTTTAAAAAAAGTTTATAAAAAGTTTAAATGCTTGTTTTTAAATGTGGGCTAAAATTATTTTGAGCTGCAGAAAAATAAAATACCTATTTAGTTTAGCGCCTGCAGGTGGCCACTTCGCCTCCGATTGCAGGTATTTGCATCTCGTATAATGGATCCCATTACAGCTACCCTGATTGCTCAGAGACTGCGACTGGCCTGCTTGTTTTCTGAACAGAATTCTCTGTGTTTCTAATTAGACATCGGTTGCTCATTTCTCCTGGTCTTCTGGTGCATTGTGGAAGACTATGCAGAAATCATTTTGTTTATCCTCCTGCTTGAGTTGTGGTGTTCGGCTCCGAGGTAACTC